TACGTCTTAGTTTAGCTTTGCCTTCTGAAATCCCTTCCCGAGGAACCGGTTCCAGAGGGCGCTCTGTTAGTTTGGGGGCTTTTGCTTTTTCAGGATCGCAGTGCTTGCATGTGCGTGACACCAGCAAGCAGTACCCCTTGAGCACCAAAGTTTTTGCCAGATTCATACGTCAGCTTGACAAGGCTTTTACTTGCACAACCATTGCCGTTTTCACAAACCTTCGAACACAGCTTCACCAAGATACCGCCAACGATTCGCGCAGTTGCAACCTTCTTTATCCGCTCTCCAACTTTTCTGGAGGAGACGTCTGGATCGAGTCCCCTCAAGGAAAGGTTCCTTTCGAACACCAAGGCGAGGTTCTCTGGGGAGACACCCTGCCGGTGTCCCAGGGGCTTTGCTATCTTGATGCGCCGAACTGCCGACATGCCACTTTAGCCTGGCAGGGCGAGCGCAGTATTCTAGTGGGATACACGGCCCAAGGAACCGCTTGCATGCCTCAGGAGACGCGCACTTTCCTTGAGAACTTGGAGTTTCCCCTGCCCCCCGTGGGCCCCAGACCCGTCCCTAAGACTAGTTCCGAGCCCGTTAAGCCCTCCCTAGCTGTCGCTGACTCCTGCAAGCCTCTCTTCGTCGAGATCTTCGCAGGCTGCGCGCGCCTCTCAAAGCATTGCGAGGCTTTGGGGTTTGAGGTTTTAGCAGTTGACTCCCCTTGGAACCGTCATGCACCTGAACACCCGCTTCTTGTGCTGGAAAACATGTGCCAAAAGCAGCTCCTGGACAGGCTGCTGCACCCCCCATTCGCCATTCACATTGCCTTGCCCTGTGGTACGGGTAGCCGAGCCCGAGAAAGGCCCATAAGCAAGAAGGCGAGATTGGCAGGTGCCCCGGAGCCTGTCCCGTTGAGGGACAACGATCACATTTTGGGCTTACCCGACCTGTCAGACACCGACAAGGCCCGGGTTTGCAAGGCCAACGATCTGTGTCGCTTCGTTGTTGAGCTGATTCGCGCCTTGCCTTCTTCCACCTTTGTGAGCATCGAGAACCCCAATAATTCCTGGATTTGGGGAGTGCTAGCTTTCTTTGTGCAAGAATCTCGAGACCCTGCCCTACTCGAGAAGTGGCGTCGCATGATAGACGTGCGCTTTCATAATTGCATGAAGGGAGGTCGACGACCCAAGCACAGTAGCTTTCGTTGCACTGATTCTCGCTTGTCTAGCATGGCTGTGGAGTGCGACAATCAACATAGGCACGATCCCTACCTGGTCTATCAGACCGGCCGACAGTGGAGATTCAGTACCGCTGAAGAGGCGGAATATCCGCCTCAACTTTGCCAGGAGGTGTCGCAACTGCTGGCCGCAACAGCGGGTTTGCCATCCTGCTTGGAGCCACCGGCAGGTCCACGCGCTGTCTGGCCCCAGCCACGTGGGAGCCACAAGCTGATCCCTGAGTTCCTCGAGTTTCGCACCGAGGCTCCCCTAGATAGGCCCTTTAAGAAATTTACCTCGGGTTTAGGGGGTGGTTCCGGGAGGTTCGGGGTGTACAGAACGCCTACCGAGTTCATCGATTGTGCCCTAAAGCTCAGCCATCCCTTTGACACCCAGCACTGCGTCCCAGATGCCGTCAAAAGGAACATCTTCAGACGGCTGACCGAAGGACCATCTGCTTTTGCTGAAGAGAGGCTCAGACTTTTCAACAGGCTCAACCAGATGGAGAAAGAACTTCGCTACGAAGAGGCGCGACTGCATTCAACCCTGACTGACCACACTCGCGAAGTCATCAAGGGAAAGAACCTTCTGCTATGGGCACAATTGCTGAAGGAGACCAAATTTCCTGATGAAGGAGTCTTCGACTTGATGATGGGCGTCGATCTGGTGGGCAAGCCCGACAAATCGCCCTTGTTTGAAACCAAGGAATCGCCGGCTACATCCACACCCGAGCTTCTCCTTGAATCAGCTCGCTGGCGCAGAGAGAGGCTCAAGGGCCGCGACCCGCATGAGAAAGATCCGGAGGCGACCTGGCAACTTTGGGATTGCACTCTGAAGGACCGTTCTACGATGAGGACGAAGTGAAAAAGCACCTTGGAGTGGATGAGTTCGTTTGTTCGAGAAGGTTCGTCATCGAGCAGGGCACGCCGGAGAGGCCCAAACTTCGACCGATCGACAACTACAAGGAGGGCGGGGTCAACGTACCATAGCCTCGAAAAGCTCGCCTTGTTTGATGTCAACTGGATGACGGCGATGGCGACTTACATCGCGCGGGTCTCGGATGGAACTGGCGCTTTGGAGATTGTTCTCAGCACGGGAGAAATTCTACGCGGAGAGCTGCACTCGCTAAACCGGGTTTCACCCTGTAGATCTGTCCGGAGCTAGCCGACGGGCAGGGGGGGGGGGTTGTTGTCTGAGGACTTGGATCTTAGGCGGATCCCGTGCTCTTGCTTGAAAGAAAATAATTTCCTCGGTCGGATTTTGTTTTCTCCTTTTGGCATGAATTTCTTTTGAGTGATTTCGAACCATCTTATTTCAGTTCAGTCTTGCCGTATCGCGAAGTTGAAGCGTTGAACAGGTAGCCACGTCAGGCTCAGGCCGTGGCCCGATAAATTTTGTTTAGGAAGGGAGCAAGAGTCTCCCTCTCGGGACGTGCTATGGATCTCGAGTGGCCTCCCCTCCAAGGGGAGTTACTGACGAAGCTGAAGTCATGTTTTGCAAGCCCCCGGCAGCTGCATTATGATTTTGATGATAGCGAAGGTGCACGGAAATTGGTAGAGGTGCTGGTGCCAGGATTGGGGGCAGGCAATGTTCAGCTTGCAGTGGATCAGTTGGTCAAATGGCATAAGGAGGGCGCGAGCTCAGTGTTGCGCGCCAAGAGAATTGCAAGAGCAGGTTTGTCGGAGAGCTTGGTGGGGCAGCATACCGTCCCTGCATCCACGATTTCAGAGGCATACGATAAACTTGCACATAGCAATCCTCTCTCGCTTTTGCCTGCGATCGAAAGGGCCAGAAAGGCAAGGGAGAACAGCGTGGATCCATCAAAGAGGGCGGCTGAGGAAAGGGCTGCTAAAGCCAAGTATGCCACTCTCTTGTACAGCTTCTTGGTTGAGGCGAGGGCACCAATAGTGGATATCTTGAAGGAAGTCACCGATTCTGAAGAGGCATGTGTGCGCATCTTTGGAACACGAAGGTCAAAGACTTTGAGGAATCGCTTTCACTCGTGGGGCAAGTTCGCGAGATGGCTGGAGACTTCGAAGGGCCGCGTCTGGCCTGCCGGGCTGCAGGATCTCTTGGATTATGCTACTGAAGCTGTGAAGGAGGGCGCTGGTAAGACGACCATAGATTCTTTTTCAGCGGCACTTTCTGTTCTGGAACAGGTCGGACGTTTCGGGGAAGGTGATATGCTGTCAAGAGATCCAACGTGGATTTCGTACAGTAAGAATGTTACTGCAGAGCTGGTGGAGAAGGGGCCGATGTTGCACCAGGCGGCCCAGCCTACAGTAGCGATGGCGCTTTCACTCGAGCTTTACGTGTTTGACGAAGATAGAGCAAGATATGCAAGGGCATTGGCTTTTGTTGCACTTCTGATGCTATGGGGGAGTATGAGGTCCGATGACGTTCAGTGCATGAGGCCAGAGAGCATGCGACTCACTATAGAAGGACTGTCTTGCAAACTTTGGAAGACAAAGACGACGGGCCCAGATCGAAGGATCAACATGGTGCAGGTCTTCATATCCCGCAAGGCCAGTCTCTCTGGTTTGGATTGGCTGGCAAAGGGGCATGAGATTTGGTCAGAGATCAAAGACAAAAGGGATTTCTTGGTTTTGCAAGCTTCAGAGGATTGGGAAACCTGCGGCAACAAAGGGGTCGATGCCCCTGCAGTGTCACTCTATGTGCGAAAGATTTACAAGGAGCTTTGTGTTCCGCGCTGGGTCGAGGGCCGCTGGATACAGAACAAGGAGCGTCTGTTACTTCCGGGGGATTGTGCGCTGCATTTCTCTGGACATTCAGCGAGGAACTTTCTTACTTCGATCGCTGCAGCCATCAGGGTTCCTAAGGACGACAGGGACTTTCTTGGACGCTGGAAGGTCGGTGGAGGTGGCTCTGCTGACTACACAAGAACAGCTCGGCAAATAGTGCATCGCATCCAGGAGCAGGTTGCAGAGACTGTCTTGCTTGGGAGAGAGCGGGGCTACGTGGAGGCTGATGCTTTGGATGCATTGCAAAGTTTCGCAGAAGAGCGAGGCGAGATTGGTGCCGTGGTCAGGGCAAGGCATGAGCTTGTTAGAGCAAACAAAGTTGGGGGAAACCCCCGACTTGGCGGGCGCTACCCGCCCCTCTACATGCAGAGCATCCCCGGACCTCATGTGATCACTGAGGAGGCAGCGGAGGACCAGCCGGAAACCGCCGCTGCACCGAAAGGGGAGGCTAAGTACTTTATCAGTGTAAGTAAGAAGACAGGATTCCGCAGACTGCATGTGAATCACGCGTGCTATGTAAAGCCCTTCAAGTGTCAGGATGTCGTATACCTTGATCAGGTTGCTGCCACGGATTTCGATGCAATTTGTAAGGATTGCAAGCTCAGAATCAGGTCGATGGCCGATGACAACAAGGCCGAAGACAGTAGCTCAGGGGAGGCAACCACTTCCTCGAGCGATGAAGGACTCCTTTAAGGCTTGCTGTTGACCTTGATCGCAGGCTTGCAACGGTTTCGTGGCGTAGATCCCACTTGACTTGAGCTGGTTTTGGAACATGCTCAAAAGAGGAGTTCATGCCAGTTTGAATCGACCGTCTTTGAAGTTCTTGTCGCTGACAGACGCACTGCTTCATGTACCGAATTGAGCGCTCAGGCTGTTGTGGGTTGCGCGCAACGACATTTACTGATCTCTGCAGTGCATCAGGGTTCAGACCTTGGGAAGCTGAAGCAAAGGCCTGAGGGCGCTCAGCGGGGAAGCCAGACCGTAGGCTGCAGAGCAAAGGCCTCGAGGGAGGCGCTGAAGATCCGCATCAGGGATGGCAGTCACAGAGGCAGAGATGCGTGAGAGAGTCAACAGTGTCGATGCCGATCTGCAATATGTATTGCAGGAGGCCGGGGCATCACTTGCCACACAGTATGCAGTTTGCAACGTGCACAGCACACTTCGCAGATTCCAGGCTATCGCTGATGATCGTGCAGGTTCGCGCACGGCTGCGAACACAGACTTTGGAGTGCCAAGAGATACGCCTGCAGGGCGTCAGCAAACGGCTGCTATAGTGGCAGCGTGGGAACTTGCAAAAGAGATTAGCTCCAAAGAAATTGAACTCCGGGCGGAGGCCCGTGCACTCAATCAGCCCAGGATCTTGCAGACCCAGGAAAGGCAGGCCATGCTGCGCGCGGTTTCGGCCGCCTATGGCAAGCTCAACGAGGCCGAAACACCTAGTGCAGAGTACTTGGCTTTGAAAGCAGAGGAGACCGAGCAGAATGAGCCGACTGCGGCACAGCTTGATACTATCACTTCGAAGCGAGATTCTCAAACAGCCACCATCCAGTCTAGTGTTGATCCTGCAGGACATTTGCGCATCACGAAAACCAAGCAGAAAGTCGAGATGCCTCAAAACTCTGAAGCTTACCGGAGAGTCTTGAAGATTGAGGGTTACTCTTGGTTGGCAATGCAGTCCAGGTATAAATCTAAGACTTGGCTTCAGGGCTTGACGATGGCAGATTTCACCAAGTTCGTCGACTACATTCTCGGCGAGCGGGTCGCGGGCCTCAGATTGGAGCAGGCCACGGGCTACGACAGTAGCCACAATGCACTCTTCCGACCCCCATGGGGGATCGTGCTTCGCTATGAATACAAGTTGAGGAAAGAAGCTTTCAGGCTAGTGAACGATGAAGGTCAGACGCTTCAAGATGCTTTGGCAGCCGTGACTAAGGATACCGAGCTTAAAGAAGTTCATTTTGTCACTCCCCTAACCTTGACCGCTTTCCCCATGCCATCAAAGTGGACACGCAGGGGGGAGAAAGGTGACAAAGGTGGCAAAGGCAAGGATCCTAGGACAGGGAAAGGCAAGCAAGGGAAAGGCAAAGGCGAAGAGAAAGGTGCGTTCAGAGGCCTACAGCTCGTCTGGAGGACACCGGATGGCAAAGACATCTGTTTCGCATACAACAATCAGGGTTGCCAGGGCAACTGTGGGCGCGCACACGTGTGCAGGGTCAAGGGCTGCTATAAAGAACATCCGGCCATCCGCCACCAGGAGCTTTCGCAAGGCAGCAACAAAGCCGAGTGACGGTCCCCAGCCGCTGGCCTCAAAATCATGTGCTTCGGTCTGCCCTCCGTGCAGGCATACCTTGCTTTGCAGCCTGGGGTCAGCGAGTGCAGGGGATACGAGTTTCACAATCCTGACTTGATGACTGATCGGTTTTGGGATTCGATTCTGCAGTGCTTGTGCCAGGGAGATTGGATTTTCTTGGCAAGCCCGCCACTTGAAACGATGTCGCGGGCCAGGCATAAACGGCCAGGGCCGGCCCCACTCAGGTCGGAAGCCTGGCCCACGGGTTTTCCATGGTTGTCAGACGACAATAGAATTAAAGTTGAGAAGGCAAATTCCTTGTTCCAGCGATGTGTAGAAGCTGCATCCGCCTGTGCATCCGCAGGAGGCTGCTTTGTGCTTGAGAGCCCTGAGGATTTGGGTGCCACCAAGGACGGTGAGCGGCCAGCGTCATTTTGGCAGTTGCCTCAGGTGCGCGACTTGCAAGTCCAGCATAATGCCACAACTTGGGCATACTTCCGTTGTGCGTTCGGTGCACCCAGTGCTAAACCCAGCCGCTTCCTCTGTAATTCCGAGAAACTAAAACATCAGCTGCCACCAAACAGCGTTTGGCCCACATTCGATGCGGAAGGCTGCTACACGGGCCCGCTTCCACCTCGCTGCCCTCACAGCCATCATCCGAAGCCTTTGGTAGGTCGCCAAGGTCGTGATTGGAATACGGCCTCCTCTGTCGAGTGGCCGACAGCTCTGTGTGATTACCTCTTGCATTCCATCCTTCCTTCGGTGCTGCGCACAAGGGGGGACGCAGGAAGGAATGCTGGCCCGCCAGAGGGTCCCTCCGTTTCGGTTTCCCCGGCTGCTAGTGGTTTAGGCCCTCAGGCAGATAGTGGTTTAGGCCCCGATTCTTCGGAAGCACATGCCCACAACGCCGAGGCTTTAGCTTGTGAGATCCTTTCGAAAGATGAGGCGCCCCGCGCCGAGGACATCATTCGCTTGTACGAAGCTTTGCCGAAGGAGGTGTCAGCCCGTGACCCTGAGGGCCGCATCCCGAGCTCCTTCTCCACGGGTGCCTACAACAAGGGAGGCTTGACAGGCCTGAGGAAGGCATGCCACGATTTCCCGCTGGCCACCAAGTGCTTGGTCCGTTTTGTTCGAAGCATGCGTCCTTTCCATCCTTTCAGCACCATCAGCATTTACGACAATGTGTGCACTGCCCTCCATAAGGACAGCCGCAATGCTTGCTGCGAGAACTTGATAATCCCTCTTACCCAGTTTTCTGGGGGCGAGTTGTGGATGCAACAAGACCAGGGTGCTACACCTCAGAACTTTGGGGGCTCTGAAGTGTTTGGGACGGCAGTGCCGATTCCCCCAGAAGGCTTGTGCTTCGATGCTCGTGGCATCTTGCATTGCACTATGCCTTGGAAGGGCCGCCGACTGATTGCCGTCGCATTCACGGTGTCGAAGACTGAGGAGCTGAAGAAAGCGGATGCGCAGCTTCTTGAGGACCTTGGAATCAATTGCCCTTCCGCAAGCCAGTTGACAGGGAGGACCTTGGATGCCGGGGAGCTGTCGTCGACGGAGAGCTCTGAGTCGGAACACCCATCTGGTGGCAAGGACCAGCAAGCAGACGATGTCTTCAGACCAGAGCTTTGTGGCAACTTCGGAAACCCCTTGATGCTGGAGTGGGACGGGAGAGAGTCGCCTATCACTGACGGCTATGGCCTTTGTTCTCCAACGCGTTGGCATCCTGCCTCCCGTGGAGCATCGCTACCAGAGAAATCAAAGGACCTGTCGAGACGCTTGAATGGCTTGGTGCAGCAATTTGTCGCAGAGCAGGTGCCAGATTGCCAGTTGCTGGCACTCAAGTTGGCCACCGGACAGATTCTGGAATCGCCTTTCGAGGAGGGTGCAATGCGACGCCTTCGCGAGGACTGGGCTGCACTTGTATGTGAGACGGATGGAGCCAAACACGAAGGTTTGCTGGAAGTTCCTGATCCACAGCCTTTCTACCTTCGGTTGCTCTCGCACACATCGCGCTTGCTGGAAGATCCAGACTGGAAAATCTTGACAGAGGGCGAGGAGTGCTTTGAAAAGGGTGTCCCATTGGGCTACGACGAGACCATACCTAGGGTCCCGCAGGTTTTCGATCGGAAGGTCAAATGGAGAAAACTTGATGAGAGCACCTTCGAGGCTGTCAAAGAAAATTACCAGAGCGCGAAGCTCACCGTTCAGGAGATGGAGCTGAAGTTCAGGGAGGAGGAGAAGCTTGGGCGGATGTACCCTACCACTTACTCCGCTTTGGCAGCCGAGCATGGAGCGGACAGGGTTCGTATAGCGGCGATGGGGGCGGTCGCCAAGCCAGACGGCAGCGTCCGTCCCCTACATGATGGCACCCACGGGGTGAGGATCAACAATGGCATTCGCTTGCTGAACCAAACGGCCACTCCGGGCCCTGCAGAAGTGGCACACGCAGTGAGCTCTGCTAAACGATCGCGCGAGGCAGCCTTCGGAATCTCAGCTGACGTGAGTGCAGCACACCGGCTTGTCAAACACAGGCGTCGGGATCACCCCTTGATGGCATGTAAAGCAGATTCTTCAAGCACCGTCGTTTGGGTCAATGTTGTAGGAACATTCGGACTGAGCGTCGCTTCATTTTGGTGGAGCAGATTGTTCGGGCTCGTGGGCAGAACAGTCGCCCGAGCAATGCTTCAGGAATGGTTCTATCAACTTTGCTTCGTGGACGACATCCACGGTGTGTTCACTGGAGCACATAAGTTCCGAAATCTGGTGATGTGGTTCGTCTTGTACCTTGCCTTAGGGACCCCTTTCTCCTTTAAGAAGTTTCGGGGAGGTTTTAAGGTTCCTTTCGTAGGCTTCGAGCTCGACTACCGATCGTGGCAAGTTGGCATGTCGGACTCTCGAGGAGCTTGGATCGTTTCGTGGATCAAGGATGCCAGGACCAAACGCTTCGTGGTTCAGGTCCGACTCTTCAGGGAGTTCCTTGGCCGGTTGGGGTTTGTTTCTAGGATAGTGGTTTGGATTAAGCCTCACCTTGCTCCACTGTATGCGTGGGCATCAGCGGTGTCCCGGAGCACCGTCGCCAAGTTGCCCGAGACTGTCATCTTGACACTCCAGTACTTGGAGAAGACGCTTGATGAGTACACTTTTAAGGTTAACCCATGCCGCAAACCCAAACACCAGGTCGCGGGCTTCAGGACAGATGCAAAGTGTGCCGACGGATTCGTCGTGTTGGCCGGTTGGGAGCTAAGTGATGACACCAAAAGTTCAAAATGGTTTTCGCTGCGCTTGACACCGAGTGACGCACCATACTTGTTTGATCAGGAGGGGAAATCACAATGGGCATCAGGCTCAGCCGAACTGCTGGCAACATTGGCGGCCCTTCACATCTTCGGATACTTGACCGCCTCTGTGGACAGAAAGGAACTGGGCAACTCTAGATTGCTCAAGAAGGGGTCCTCAACCAAGTGGCCCCTGATGTTGATCAACATGCAGTTGTCTGACTTGCTTCTTCGCTCTTCCTTGAAGCTCCTCCTACGGTGGAGGCCACGCGATGAGAATCAGTACGCAGACCAGCTTACGAATGAGATTTTCACTAACTTCTCGGACGAACATCGCATTGCATGCACATACTCGGATTTGCCTCTTGCGCTCCTGCATCAGTTGTGGGAGACAAAAGAAAGCTTCGACTCAGCACGAAGGGCTCAGGCCGTGCTTCAGCAGGATGCCTCGGGGCATCGTCCTCAGAAGAGGAAGGCAGAGAAAACACCTTGGTAGTGCGTCCCTGAAGGGGAAAGGGGGTGGGATGCATCAACATGCATCCGCCCTACCAAGGGCACCGCGAGACTACCAACCGCTGCGAATAAAATGAGTGTCGTCCGAGTGCTCCTGATTGCTCGACGTATTTCCTTTCGCATGTCACATATTTATTCCAGTTGGATTCATTTGGAAGATACGATATCTGATTCTCATTTATAGAAAGACATTTGTTTTAGTTTGCGAGGCTACTTTTGAAAGAACGGATAACCCCAACCTCTAACCACGAAGCTAAGCGAAGGACAGGCTAAACCGGGTTTCACCCTGTAGATCTGTCCGGAGCTAGCCGACGGGCGGGGGGGGGGGGTTGTTGTCTGAGGACTTGGATCTTAGGCGGATCCCGTGCTCTTGCTTGAAAGAAAATAATTTCCTCGGTCGGATTTTGTTTTCTCCTTTTGGCATGAATTTCTTTTGAGTGATTTCGAACCATCTTATTTCAGTTCAGTCTTGCCGTATCGCGAAGTTGAAGCGTTGAACAGGTAGCCACGTCAGGCTCAGGCCGTGGCCCGATAAATTTTGTTTAGCCCAGTTCTTGGAAAGCTAAGAAGCCAGTCTGGCAAGGGCGAACACTGGATTTGGAAAAAGCATATCGTCAAGTTCCACTTTCAACTGAGTCGCTACGACTGGGGGTCGTCATGGTCACGGACCCTAACAGCGGCAAGCCTTGCTACTTCGTGGCCCAAAGTTTGCCCTTCGGTGCATCATCATCTGTGTTTGCTTTCAACAGGCTGTCAAGATCGATCTTGCATCTGAGCTGGAACTTGATTGGCATGATATCAGGATGCTTCTACGACGACTTCCCGCTTCTTGAAATCCAATCATCTGCGAAGCTTGTTTCCGAATCGTTCGAACACCTGCTGAGGAAGATCGGGTGGAGGTATTCCAACGACCCAGCCAAAACATCGCCTTTCAATGAGAGCTTCGATCTACTTGGAATACGTCTTAATGCGGGCGACATCTCCAATGGCGTCGTGGTGCTCCAAAACAAGGCATCGAGGCTGGAGAAGATGAAAGATACCTTCATCCGCATGGCGTTGAATGGTGAATGGGATCTGCGACAGATTCAGTCGCTACAAGGGCAAGTGAACTTCGCTTTGGGCTTTGCTTCGGGGAGGGCAATGAAGATGCTGCAGCGTGCACTTGGAAGCTTCATCAGGAATCCTGAAGATCGCAGCTCGAGTGACTTCCGGACACTTTGCGAGTTTGGGATCCGCTTGATCGACGAGTGCAAACCAAGAGTCTTCGCCTGCCGGGGGCCGGAACAACCGGTGTTAATTTTCACCGATGCAGCCTACGAAAAAGGTGTTGCCACATTCGGCGTGGTGGTCCTGGATCCCTTCACCTCTTCTAAGCTAGTGGCCGGAGGTCGCATACCGAAGACTCTAGTGGAATTCTGGAAGCTTGACAGCCCCGAACAGTTGATTGCTCAGGCTGAAGCTTTCGCCGTGGTCCTCGCAAGAGAAGCCTTCAGAAACTTCATACATGGCAGGCGAACCATCTACTTCATCGACAACGAGGGAGCGAGAGAAGTCTTGATCAAAGGAGCGAGCAAGTCACGTACGCTTCTGCTTTTGGGAGCACGCTTCCTCGAGATGGAAAACTTGGATCAAAGCTTGACGTGGCTAGAGAGGGTCCCATCTGCTAGCAATGTGGCAGACGGGCCGAGTCGTGGTGAGATTGCCGAGACGGCGAAAGTCATTGGTGGTACGATCGTTGATCTGCAGGAGAAGGCAGAAGAACTTGGAGAGTTGTGCAAATCAACTGTACAGATACCTTGGAAGCTGCTCAAGTAAGACCGGTCACTTTTAAAGGGGGTTATGCGTGTTGGGGCAGAATCGGTATCATGCACAATTGAGCGATTGCGAATCCTACCGCATATTTGCTCGTGCCTCAACCGAAACCCGAAGCAGTGGCACAGACCACATCTCATGTTTCTGACTCGCCCTACCGTGTGAGACCCCCGACTGGAAAAAGACCGAGTCCGAGTTCGAGCTCTTTTGTGAAGAATTCTTACACATATGTATAGCTTGCGATTCTCAAATATCAATTGATTGAATTCGCACATTTGTATAGCTTGCGATTCACAAATATCGATTGGTTAAATTCGCACTTCATTTATCGATAAATCAAATCATTGTGAAAACAGAAAGACGGCGATTTCGCGGAGCGACTAATTTGTCTTTTCTGTTTTCATAGCTGCCGGTTCAGCAGCGCAATGATTAATTATTTATCGTTTTGTTTTCACGTTTTAAGGTGTGAGCTTTTGACTCACAATGATTTATTTGAAATCTATTTGCTTTTAAACATCAACTTCACTCAAACAACACGTGTATTCTGTTTGCACGTTTTGATTGAAGTCGAACTATGCGTGCATACCGCGCCGCTCCAAACAGCATGGCTCAGTGCACATGTGCAAAACCGAACACCTCAGTCTGCTCATGAGCTACGCAATAGGGGCATGCACTGTGCAGAGCTTTGCTTAAAATTTTCGCCCACCCTCCCGCCCTTGAGGGCTTTTGCCCTAAATTCTGGTGGGGGGGTTATGCGTGTTGGGGCAGAATCGGTATCATGCACAATTGAGCGATTGCGAATCCTACCGCATATTTGCTCGTGTCTCAACCGAAACCCGAAACAGTGGCACAGACCACATCTCATGTTTCTGACTCGCCCTACCGTGTGAGACCCCCGACTGGAAAAAGACCGAGTCCGAGTTCGAGCTCTTTTGTGAAGAATTCTTACACATATGTATAGCTTGCGATTCTCAAATATCAATTGATTGAATTCGCATATTTGTATAGCTTGCGATTCACAAATATCGATTGATTAAATTCGCACTTCATTTATCGATAAGTCAAATCATTGTGAAAACAGAAAGACAGAGAGGCTACTCGTTTGAATCGCTGCAACGTTTTGCTTCTGCGAGCACTAGAGGAGGCTCGCGACGAGATCATCGCTTTGCGCGTTAGGGTTGCAGCTCTTGAAACGGCTGGCTTGTGATTATGAAGCGGTCTGCAGATCCAGATTTCACTTCTGAGCGGAAGACTCCAGCATGCCTCCGCCCCACCGCTGCCCGCCAAAGGCCTGGATCTTCCCGAGCCTCCGTCACGCCGGGAGCCTGATGCTCTACCGGTTCCAGCCTTGATCAATCGGCCCTGCTCCTCTCTAGGGGGTTCTTCGGAATTAGGTTTGACGATCTTCAGAAAGCTGCCGCTGCGTTTAGGTCTTCGGGTTCTAGGTTAGGCCCTGCCTCTTCAGATAAGAAACGCGCTCAAGCTGGTATCGGTATCAATGCTTCGCAGTCTCCAATTGCAAAGCAAGCCTTTCTGGCAATCATCCTGGCATTGGGCTCTCTTAGTGTTATAGGCCAAGGCCTCGCAGGGAGCAAGCAAGATCACTTGCCTCGGTTGCTCTCCCTATGTGTTGCATCGACAGTGATTCGCTACTGCTCTGCTTTCAAGCAATTCCTGGCTACTTTGCGTGATGTGCAGATTCCCATTGAATCTCTTACTTCATTTCAAATGGCTGATGCATTGGTTGTGATGAGTCTGGCCCGTAGCTCTGATCCGGAATCTGGCTGCGCTGGGTTTACAAAATGCTTGAGGTGACATGTCTTTCAGTGAGCCATTCGCAGATCATTGCCAGCTTTCTCAAGAGCAAACTTCCTCGGGAAAGGAAGGAGGCCGTACCACTATCACTCTACGTGGTCGTTCAGATTGAAAGAAGAATTCTCTCGCGGGAGGCCTCAGACTCAGAAGTCTTGCTGCTTGGGGCTTTCCTGGTTCTACTCTGGGCATCACTGAGATTTATGGACGCTCAAAGGGTCCATTTTACTTCCTTGGCGTACGATGGGCAATCGCTGCGTGGGAGTTGCTTCCAGACGAAAACCACCTGTTTCGGGCAACCTTTCGGCCTGCTCTGTCATGGTTTTTTGAGTCACGGCTCTCATTCTTGGTGTCATCGTTTTTGCAGGCGCTGGACAAAGCAGTACATCAACACCTGTCACTTCACCCTGGGGTTCCTCTGCCCTCCAGCCTTTTGCTTTCGCTGGACAGTGCAGGCAATACTCTTTTGCCGCTGCAGCCGATGAGCTATGCTGCCACGCTTCGTCATTTGCGCCACGTGATAACTCTACCTTGGAAAAGCAGCAGGCCCACTGCAGTATCTTCCCCGGTTTTGAATTATACGATTCATTCTCTGAAGACTACAATGCTATCATGGTCAGGACAGAGACCAGAGGTGTCCCAAATTGAGAAATCCTGTCAAGGACACCACCGCCTCTCTTCGAGCCAACTCTATAGTAGGGACGATATCGTCCCTTCCTTGAGGGCACAGATCAAAATACAGCATGCAGTTCGATCCGGCGCTCGTTTTATGACTCCGCTACATCGCGGGGCGCAGTCCCCCGTGGATGAACCGGATGTTTAGTTGGAAAACTATTCCAAGGAGATTGGA